AATAAATACTTCCACTAGCTGGCTGACACTCGTTATCTATATAAAGTGGGAACAAGCGCCAAAGAAAAAAAAGTTCTGCTTAAAGGCGCGTACTGCTTCGAACGTTAAACTAACCCTAAATCTCACACAAAATTAATTCTAAGTAGAGTTCAAGAGAGAGAGAGAAAGGACCTCGAAATGCCTAAGCCTTAACGAGACGGTCTGCACTGAGCCGGACACGGATGGGTATTTGGTTGATTAAGCACCGAAAGGTTTTGTAGCCTGGTACTTATTTCATTGACAGTTTCTAACGTTTAAATAAATTTACCCTACAAAGTTCATCACGTGCGACAATCCGTTAGCGCATACCCACCATTATCCAATAGCTCTGATTTATTTGATGGTAATCAGTTTAATTAAACGCTTTCATATCTGTAACCGTATCTGCCCGTGTTGGCAGCGTTCTTTTTCATAGCTGAGTTGGATTGACCTTCGAGTTTTAGCACACCCGGTATAAATTTAAAGATGCCTTCGGGAAGGAAGTCTGGTGTCCAGTGTCAACAGCTGTGCATAAATCAAACAAGTATTATTTTACCAACAGATGTTCCAAGACTTCAACTCTATGTTCATAAAGATGAGCTAAAACTTCTAGAATGAAAAATCTAACTGTTATCTATAAGACAACTATTTTTGTTGGGTATCCGTTACCTTGCAAATTTCCTATTTTCCAATATTATCAAATGTAAAAAACGAATATATATATACTCATAGGTAAACAATAGTGTTCTGATTAGGAAATCATAAAATAAATAAACTCAAAAAACAAAATATTACATTACAACCACGTAGCCTTATATTCATCTTGGTATTTTTTGCCATTAAGAATAAATTAAGGAGATGTTAATGTGACCTGCTCAAATATCGTTTGTACAAATAGTCCAGCAAATTGGACCGTTAGATTCTCTCTATTAAACAAGGCTAGTATAGAAAAACTATAATTCTTATACAGCATACCTATAGACTACTTGATAGTTCGGTAATCGGGATAGATTGCAAAACGACAAACTAGGCAAAACATTAGTTTCTATTTGCAGATACTGCGTATCGTTAATTATACCAAAAGTATAGTTACTTTTTTTATTTTAAAAAAAAAATTGTTTATATTGCTTAACAGCTTTGGCTATTCTTTTAAAGGCCTTTTAAAGGCACAGCGTCAAGGATCTGCCGCCGCCAGGGACCCAACCGGGGTGTATATACGGTAGAACTTCATTTAGTAAGATTGTAGTCAAAGTCATTTATCATGGACCAGGATTTGTATGCCTTATGTCCACGGTGGGTGATAGCCACGTCAGAAAAACGGCAGCCTGTTGCATGTACATGACAGGAGGACGCAAAGCTATTGCCTTTACCTTCTAAATAAAGAGTAGGCTACTTCCAGGACAGAATATTTAGTCTCTTCTTTTTTCTTCTTCTTCTTTTTTAAGCTATAGAATAAGGAATAATATGCTCTATGTATATTCACGCATTGCAGAACATGTGCAACATGTGTGATACATGTGCAAACTCGGCATAAAGAGTAATGCATTAATGAGTGTACACCCAATACGCCACAACAATTGACGAAGTATACGGCATGTGCGTGACGGTGGACCGGTAAACACAGTGGGTTACTGACTCGATACAAAGATCTGTCAACAAAAAATCAGCAAGCAGAAAACCTTGCATTCTCATAGTCCCGTTCAAATAATTTTTGCAATGATTTCTATGTATGTACGTATGATAGTTTATCTATTCTAAAGCAATTTTGTTAAAAGTCCAACTTGCATAAAAAAAATCTGCAGAACTTGATACAGCGTTTCAATGTATGAATGCCTTTGGATACTATAAGGAGTAATTTCTCGTTTCTCCATCTGGCCTTTTGTTACGGCCATATCTGCTTATGCAGGAAGGAGTATTATCCTTTATCGACGGGACCGTTCGAGTTGATTTCAAACGTGATTAATGGGCGCCCATTATATTAAGCTGTCCTGACAGAAATGCTAACTAGTAACGGTGCCCTACCCCATCATCTTAGCAAAAGATCAAATGTTCTCCAGAGATCAGAATCATTTGCTTAAGCATATTTCGAAGTGTGATGGACAACCACTTCTAGAACATCTAGTATATTCTATAGAATCTAAATATAGAATTTAAGGTTATTCTTGAGGAAAACACTTAAGGCATCGCGTTTTTTTTTTATTAGTTACATTCAGAGCAAATTCTGTTGGAGAAATAAGGTGCAGATGACAGGCAACGATTCAATTAAGACAATTGAAAAAATCAAGTCGGAAATAAAACAATACGGTTTAGCTAGTGATAATAGCAACTTGTTGCAAAAATAAAGCACCTAGATGTACAGAACATAACAAAATCAATAAAACTGAGTATCGATTACAATCGGTTAAATAATACAGGCCTAGCAACAACGATAGACAAAACAAGCCTATATGAAAATCCATCCAGATAACGTGACCACAACGGTGTACTTGGCGAAACCCGAAATGTATTAGCATGAATCTCGACGTTTTTCAGTCAAGCGCAACAGAGTAACTGTAACATATCGCTGAAAAGCACTGAAAATGGCCAGCTGTCAAACAGGCAAGAATAAGGAAATTTTTGAAGCACAGGGCAGGGATTTTCATAGATGTCAAACGCCGTACCTGTGAATCCTGCAGAAGCCACAGAACGGTAACATGTATAAAGAGAGACCTTTAGCTAAATCAACTTATCCCGCTAAGCCCTTTCAGCTTTCTTTGACGGCTCCGGGTCTCTCACTGTAGAGTAAGCTCGGAGTAGTTGACCAGCAGTCGTTTCTGGAGCATGTTGCAGATGGGAACGGGCGCCAGACGTGTCTATCTGCTGCTCGGGTCGCGTACGCTACGTGACTGGCGGCAACGATACCATACGCCGACGCATTGTGAAGAAAAGCGATACGTCAGTACATACGTTATACAGGGCCGCCGGGGAAAAGCTAGTAATCGTGATGGTTGGCAAGCGGCCGCCCAACGGGAACTAAGAAAAGGCGCTAGATGGGTAAATCACGCTTACACCCTTTTTTTGGCGTTAACTCCCTGGCAAGCCTTAGTGGTCATTTAGTTGTGGCTTGTCTGGAGGGACAATCCAGTACAGGCTTCACTTGACACAAGGTAATGCAACACGATCTGCTTGCTGCAGGCTGGGGCAAATGCAAGCAGCGTGACTCAAAGAAAGTCGAAAGCATAACATATATTTACGCTGCTACCAGAACACGTCTGTCCGGCTGCCTCTACGGCAGATTATGATCGGACAATTCACTGTAGTTAAAACAACAAAAATAAAGGTTCAATATAGCATTTGAGGCCGTGGAGCAGGGGGAAAATAGGGTTTCTATAAAGATTCAGAGGATTGACAGACATACGAGAACTAATGAAGAAGACACAGATAGAGTAAATGAAATGCATATTGTGTAGCGGTCAAGGTATTCCCTGATGTGATAAGAACTGAATTTACATTCGTCGAGTTGGCCTTTGGTAGTTGCGCACCAATGGCACCCACGTTTCCTTCGTACATGAAGTTGTGTTAGAAATACGTAAATGCTGCCGATCTAACCGATATAGATGTCTAGATATATGTAGAAGTGTGCAAATGTTGTAGATTAGAGTAACTTACACTTAGCCATGCCTAACGAGAAAGATTACCTATGGATTAAATGAATGAACTACCCCTACGGTACTCCGGGAAAAAATGTATATAATCTTATATTAGAAAAGCAATACTTTCCGGTTAATAGGTATTTACTTGATCCACCCAGTTAGTATGCTCTTTTGTGGAGTCGTTCCTGTCGGATGTCACGCAGATACGCCACCAGTTTTTACACACCCTCAACACACTGTTTGAATTTTGTCGTTAAAACAACTTTTAGCTTGGTCAGTAGTTTTTCTTTAATTTCTTTCGTGTTTAAATGCTTCTTCTATAGACATTTTTTTTGGTTTTCGAAATAGGGAAGAGTCGCAGGGGCTCGGTCCAAAGTATACGAAGGTACGAACGGAGCATCGAACACTTCGAATCTTTTGCAAAAATTGCTATATGAGTAGTGAAGTGTGGGTTGGTGCATTGTCGTGATGGAAAACCCAGAAATTGTTATGACACATTTCTGGCATGTTACGTCGGCAGACCCGCGTAAGCTTCCTAGAACTTCTCCACAGTACTTTTTACGATTTCCCGATGGTCGAAGAAAAACGTGAGTAGTATCTTAATTTTGGACCTACCTCAGGCGACTGTCTTCCATTGGAACTTGTTTTTGAACTAATGCTGCAAAAATTATATTTTAATCTCCTCGTCGTAGCTCTATACACCCACACCTGGTCACCGACAATGACATGTTTAGTTTGAATAACGAATTTAGTTCTTTCGGCACAAACTTTTCCGTGAGCCTTATGGGGCCTAAACGGACGGCCTAATATGAGCCTGGGGCTATGTCTATTCTTTTTGCTGGCTATCTTATGGCGATTTATAGGTTAATGAGGTCAAGTCGTTTGGTCACTCGTCCAATAATTGCTGTCACAGCTCATTCAGGATACCTCTCGATAGACTTCTGTCCATTTTCGAAATGTCAGCAAACAGTCTGTTTGCTTGAGCTTTACACAGTGTCTGATTTTTGCGAGGATTCCGACATATCTGCGGAAAATCTACGCGGTTTATTCTGTTTTCACAAAACTGAATGTATGGTTGTTACTCCATTCGGGAATAGTCGCCGAAAGCTTGGTTCGTAGGCTTATTCAATGTTACCGGAGAACTCAAGATTGAAAATCCTAAAGTCTTTATTTAGCCTTTTCACTCATGTTTTTATTACAGTTTACTTTCCTGATATTTTTCAGAAATAAAAAATGAAAACTCACAATCTGTAAAGTGACTTTTTTAGTCTGTCAAAGAAATTTACATTATATATATATACATATGCCTACCGAGCATACACTAATATCGACGTCTCGCTTTGTTTTTAGACACACGTTCTTGTATCAGCCATGGAGGACCGCTACGGCATGGACGTGGATAGAAGAGAACGGGTCTTACGTACGCTGGTGCGCAATTTGTTCAGCTTTCACCAGCAAGAAATCTACTTGACGGTTCTTAACGAGTATACAGATTGGTCCGCTTCTTTGCCACCTCATCCTCTCAATATACTGGATGGTAGGTTCAGTTCGATGCGATATATGACTTGTTCACACGCATTTCTGACTAATGAGCAATGATAGGGATTTCTTCTGCTATCTCCTATCGTTCCAATTCTATGTGCTTGTTGAATTGACTTTCTTATCGTGGATTTATGGTCAATGTTGGCTTGATCCTACTTGGACCATGCGGAGCTGCGCGTTAAACCGCTGCTTCGTAGTAAAAAAGCATTTCGGCAGCTGTGCGCTGTTGATACATTATTCTAAGAGCCTCTAAAGCTGCTGCTCTATATTAAGGCCCACATAAGTGCGTCTTTTAAAGTATCTTACACATGAGCTTTTCGGTAATCCCTTCGATATACTGTTTCTAAAGTTTTTCCTCCGAGCATTTAAGCCGCATGTTAATATCTCTCTAAAAATCTTTATGCTGTCCCAACAACTAAAAAGGTAAGCCGAGCTATGAAAAAGAAACTCAGTGGATGTTATTTGTAAGTGGAAATAAATATAACCGATTTCTAAAAAAGAAAATTGTTATACTAGATAGCACTTTATCTTTATATTAAAACGGTTCATCTAATGAGCACTTTCATAGTTCTTCTTTCCGTGACAAGCCAATTGTTTCTCCATTAAGATCATGAAGAAGGTCTCAATTTCGTGGCGGAGGTTTTGAGTCATGGGAAAGTTGCCATTTGTCGAGTGTTCTTAGAATAAAAGTAAGAATGAACCTGATTACTTAACGCCACAGTCGACTAAAACGTTGGGAAGAGCGAAAGAAAAAGGGTCCCATTTCCAACTTGGAGTAAAAATAAACTGATTTTTTCATTAACCAATTCAAGGTTGCCCTACAACTCGGATTGAAAATCCTGTCGCTCTTTTATTTGAGAGAATCTTTTCTGCTTAACTACATGGGCTATATGGAATATCTGCTATGAAATTAACGCCATTGAATAGAATGTGCGCTGAAGAATTTAAAGTTCATGGCCTATCTGTGTTTTATATATATATATATATATATATATATCTATTCGCTTGAATTATATATATATATATATATATATATATATATATATATATATTACAAGCGAATCCTGTGAATTTTGAAAATTTTAAACCACGCGACACTAGCAGAGGAAATACAACTGATGAACGCTCCAGTCCTCTAGGAATTCTTCAGCAAAAGCACAATGTATAAACCGCGCAAGCTTTTCGAAAACGAAGATTGGGATGTTGAAGACTAGCAAGGATGTGACCAGATGTCAGCATTTGAAGGACAAGAACGCATTTCTATAGACTTTTACGAAAACAGTCTGAGGTTTCTGTCGGCCAAAATTGGCATTCCGCATGTAACGTGTGAGAAAATATCCAAATACTAAACTAGAGGCTGAATAAAAAATGTGATTTCCGTGAATTGACTCCAAGCCAATTGAAAATGCCTCTGGTCTATAGTCATTTTTAATCAACAAAAAACCCGCCTGGAGCATACGATCGCCGAACAAGGTTTACCGGAGAGGATCAAACGAGATAGTGGCGTCGCTTTAGAAAAAAATTAAATTTAGTAACCCCGTCAAGTAGATTCGGACGTTAGGTAATGGTTGTTCTTGCGGACGTTAGGTGTACCTACTGCCATGAGATACTCGCCAAAAATGAAACAGCTCGCTATATGGAGTTCCTCGAGAGATTTATAGATCTTTAGCACGTCAGTCCGAAGCAGGTTACTTGGTGACAACTCCAGACTTCATCGCCACGCGTCAATTCCTTTCTGGATTGAGTAAAGAAACGTTGGAACGTCTGCCCCAGCCCGCCTATTCTCCCGATCTAAGCCCGTGTGATTACGGGGCTTTTATGCTGTGAAAAGGGTGACTGGTAGGCAAGCACATCTCACTGTCGATTCACCTCTAGAAACCATAGATAGAGAAATTACTAAAGGACAAATAAAAGGGAGTATTTTTAACACATATTTAAAAAATCATCATTCTAGATTAATTGGCTCATAATTCACTTATTAGATTTTAAAGTCTATCTGCGCTAGATATATATA